CTGTCACGTAAATGAAAAACAGGAAGAATATATTTCTCTCTACAAAATTTAAGTTTATAGGTACATGTACATGTATAAATGCCGACATTGAACCAAATCAAAACAGAAAAGAAATTAGAAAATCGGAAGAAGGATGTGCTGGCTCCTTATTTTATTGAAAATTAGAAATTCTATAAATGTTTTTGTTATAAAGGCTACACAGAAAAGTTAGCATGTCTTGAAGTCTGATGTTGCAGCCACGGTTAAATTTCATAAAAACTTTTACAATAACGTAGGGACTACGCGTTTGCATGCTCCATATTGTGAAAAGTTTTCTGAAATCCAACCATGGCTGCAACGAACACAACATTTTAAAGAATTACGACAGGGTTACGGGTGTTAATTAAGGTTGAAGAAAAGAGAAAGTTGAATTTGTAAAAGATGAAAGAATAAAGAATAAAGAAAATGTCTCGAGGCAGAACTCACATCACGTGATTTGTGGAAAAAGACGAGAAAAACGTGAGAAAAAAATGGAGAAGACAGGTCAATGGTTGATCAGAAAAAAATAAACAACAAAACAAAAACAGTCAAAAGAAAAAAATTGATCCTGCTGATTGCAAAATACACTCTGGGTCAAATATTTCATGAATAATTCATATCTCATTAGCATTGGGACTTGGGATAAAAATTAAGTTGGCTTTTATCCAAGTAATAAATGCTAATTATGAGTGTTTACTCTACTTCGTTGCCCCACCAACGCATCAAAATTCCGTGTTGCATTGTCCAGCATGATTCGTTTCTGCTGCCTATTGTTGAGTTTAATTAAACAGCGCTAGTGACGTTATCTTTTAATTGTTCCAAGCAGTATCCATTGTGCATTTGTAATTAACGCAGTAGGGAGGGGAAAACAATTGATTTGGTGTAGTTAATAATATGGGTCATCCCTCGCAATTTAACGAGCTATAGTTTGATTACGGTATGCACAAGTAATATATGCACACCACCGATATGCCTTCAAATTTACTCAAACAAATGATAAAAGCCCTTAAATCTATAATTTAAGTTTCCACAGGGTTGAGTTTGGGGGGAAAATGAAAAATCCACGTAATCATGGGAAGACTGTTTGAGCTATGTTTATATTTGCCTTATTAAAGGCACCCCTTTAAATAGCGACTTCTTTTGTTATACAAAAATTACAGTAAAACCTTAGCATCTTTGAAAATCCTAAAATCAAGAAAGTCCTGATAGAAAATCCTGAAATGTTTTCTTATTTGAGGTTTCATTTTCAATTTTAGAATTAGCCCCTTCCCTTTTGAAAAGGTAAAAGCAATATTTCCAGGTGCAACGTAAAACTGCACAAATTTGCAAATGAATGGGGAAAAAGTAAGAAACGTAGAATGAGGAATGAAACATTGTTTTTTAAGTGATAAGGAAAATGAAAATGACAACTGCTGTGACATCTATTATGCATTGAAAATCAATGTTCGGACAACTCCATGCTCCTTTTCAATTGATGATTAAAAACAGAAAAAACAGAAGATAAAAACAATATGATTTCTAAAAAAAGCAAGAAAACAAATTACTTTTCATGTAACAAATGTAAACAAATTAGTTTCATGGCAAAAAAAAAAGAAGGAAAAACAACCACATTTTATGGATATGTGTTCAAACAAAAACGAAATAAAAATTTTTGTCACAACAAATGATAAAACTCAAGAGGAAATGAATCACATTAAGTGAAATGAAATCATGCAAGCTACATTGTATTTCAGCATTCCTCAATATTTCATGCAAGCATTCTCCAAGCTCAAACATTTCTTAAAAAATCCCTTTTTGTTGACTAAGTTCAATGATTTTGTTTTCCGTTTACATTTCCCCCACTTTTGTCTTATGACCGGTATGTCTTTTTTCAAGAAAGCATAATCCCGCCTTCAGTTCTCAAGAACGCAATTGGATGCACCAAATGCTTGAAGGATCAAGGAACCAGACTTTAACAAAGCACCAGTCCAGCCTGATTTTGATTAGTAAGGCTATGTCCAAATTACTTGGCTTCGTCTGGATGTAACACACAGGTCTATGGGAAGTGGCTGCGGCTGCTTCCATAGACTCATGTGTAATATCAAGCCATAGCCAAGTAGTTCAGATGCGGCCTAAGGCAATATCTCTATGGCTACGGCTATTCACCATAGCACTGCCAATGGCAAAAACCAAAGCCATATCCACAAATTACTCACTTCAGGCAGTTTTTCCAACTCACACAGTTTTAGTCGCAGCTTTATTATTTTTCTTCCAAAATTAGGATTATATTTAACATGTTTAACGGGGACAAAGCCTTTATGTTGCTAAAGGCTATGTCCAGTTGTTGTTGCTATGCAAATTCAAACCCATACGCCATCCAAAACTTGGTAACAATTAATTAATATAAATTGGGACTACTCGGAACTGATCAATCTGATACGAACAAGAAACATACGGTACCAGATTTGCAGGGATCGACTGGACTGGCACTTTGAAAACGTTCTTCTCAAAATACCAACAAACACGCATATCAAATCCAATCAATGCACCAATAAATACAATTGATTTGATCTTGGTTAAACTACCGGTATGGGCTCCGTGCGCGCACAAGAGAGAGCGTTTTTTTCACCACATTCGATAGCCCTGTAGACGGTGCGTACTGGTTTGCGTGCATATGGCGTACCCAGGACTAATTTTTATTCTCAATGTGCAGACAGCCATAGCGTCTTCGCGCAAGTATCAGGCGTCGTTGCCAATACGTAGGAAATGTCAATCCAGATGGTCTCACCCAACTCTCCCTTCCTTATCGCTGAGGGGGTACTTGTGCACTGAGCCCACAGAAAATTGGCAAACTATTGTCGCTTTGACTTTCGACTTTGTGAACCGGGACAGTGCATGTGTCCTTTTGCACAAGGCTATAAATCAAAATGCTTCCAACAATGCATTGTTGATTGTCCACTTATTTAAAAAAAAAAAAAATAATTCCGAAGCAACTTGCAAGGTTTTTGTCAATGAAAAATACTGTGCACGCATGACTATCCACAACCTGACCCCTTTTGTTGAGAAAACTAAGCCCTGCGTGTGCCTACACAATTTCTGGATAGGTGAACGCTCGCACAGTTAACCTAGTTGCAAGGTTGGACATGAGACACAAAAGAGCAGGAAAAGGTTGACAAGAGGTTATGTCAGTTAGTAGTGTTTCCATGATGGTCAAAGTCTTGACCAACTCAAAACCTGTTGTGAATTGGAAGGCAGGGTATTTGGGGGTTGAAATAAAAATAAAACATGTAATTTGTGCCATCCACCAAAAATGGAAGGACACTTTTTTTCACTGCATTAAATGGAAGGTGTCCACAATAGCCTATGGGCTCCGTGCACAAGTACCCCTTCAACGGCCAAAACAGAGAGTTGGAGGAGACCTAGACTGGTTCCCATTCTATCCACTGCATATTTCAAATGATCCAAAGTTATTGGGGCAGGGATAAGTCTGGGAGATCATTGCAACTTAAATTCTAACGTATACACGTGCCTACGACGCCTGACGCTCACGCGAAGATGCTGTGGCTAACAGCTTCGAATGTCACATTCAGGAAGTTGTGTGTACTTCGCGCGAACCAGTTATGTAGAGTACGCACACACTGTGTGTCCAGTCCACTGGGAACTCAAAAGTGGCAAAACGCGCCTTCTTTTGATGGCCCACGGAGCCCATAGGGTGTCCAAAAGACCCCCTTATGCCCTTCTGGCTAACAACCATGGGAAGTATGAGTAAAGATTGATTGAGGAGCATTGGTAAACTGGGGGTGTATTCTTGACATTAACTTATGCCTGCGCACTAATAGCAATGTGCAAGTGTCTCTCATCGAGCAATGTAGTCAAAATGTCATCATGACACTTCTTGGTCCGGGTTCCCTGCTATGCATTATAATGGACACAACTATCTTAGCCAGCGATTTGACCAATATCAGAGGGCTGGTCTTGAATATCTGACTAGACTAGTCTAACTATGGTCAACAAGCATCAGTTCGAGCGAAGATAGCAAAACGTTGAGCAAGTTCGAGGGAAGACTACGGTTAACTAGGCTTGGACCAACTTCACTCGAACGCAGGATGGCTGGACTATTGTAGCGGACTATTTGGAACCGAAGCTCAGGGCACGGCTCCGTCGCTGGTTATCAATCGCCGCATCAATCGCCGCACGTATCATAATGCACAGCAGGGAGTCAGGGCTCAAGACGTTTTGAGATGACATTTTGACCAGCGTTTCACTAGAGGAGTGGGCATGTTGATATGAAGTGCTCAAGCGTAAGTTACATGAGGAATCAGCCACTAGTCAACTTGTGGTCTTCCCCAGAACTCTTGTAACAAGAACACGTTCATGTCATTTCAAAATAGTAATGGCAAAAATATTTAAAGAGGTTGTGGATCGGTCGAAGACATTTCCGTCATTTTTCGGGTATATGTAGCCTAAGGTGTGATGAAATAAAAACGACTATTGTTTCTGACATAAAATGAGTACAAAAGGTACTTGTGAGAGCTGTTTTTCAAGTCCTGTCATGCCTGTTTCGACCCGAACGTGCAATTTGTGTAAAAGTCGTCGTTGCGGGCAGCAAACAAAACACAGTAAATCGTGACGTAATAAACAGGACTCCCGATGCAGAGTAGCATAAACGAGTCCTGTTTATTACGTCACGATTTACTGTGTTTTGTTTGCTGCCCGCAACGACGACTTTTACACAAATTGCACGTTCGGGTCGAAACAGGACCTGAAAAAATAGCTCTCAAAAGTAACCTTTGTACTCATTTCATGACAGAAACAATAGTCATTTTTATTTCATCACACCTTAGGCTACATATACCCCAAAAATGACGGAAATGTCTTCGAGCATTCCACAACCTCTTTAAACATTTGGAAACACTGCTAACGTGACTGGGGCCCTATTACTGTGTATTGCACTCCATGTGTACATCTTGTTTTTCATCCCTCGCCCAATGTCTAATACCGACCTTCTCTTTGTAAGCGGCTCCCAGCATCTGCACGCTCTTCAAGTCCACGGCGCCCTTCAGGCCCTTCTTGCCTTCCTTCTTCTTCTTCTTCTTGCAGCAGCACTTGACGCAGATGCAGCCGCAGCAGCACAGCAGCAGCAAGCCGGCCACGATGGCTATCAGAATGATGGCCCACATGGGCACTACAAAAAACAGAGCGGTGAAAAATCATCAACTTTGTTAACAAACGTATCAAAAATACCATATGTACATGTACATGTATGTATTTAATGCAATACAAGAGTGACTGCCACCCATGGAATTACTTGAAATTAGATTGAGATTGAAAATATTCTTATGGTTCATCCTGAGGAATTTTTAAAGTGGGTTCTGGCCTTCACAAGTAATTTCATACATGTACTAAGTATGCAAAGCCTCAGAGGTTGTGAGAAAACTATTTTTTTTTTTTCAAACTCAGACAGCACTTAGAACATTAATTTGGTGTAGGGCAAAACCTGATATTACATCTTACAGACTGACACCTCCTTGATGGAAAGATTGCATCAATCAAGTTGCTTTTAATGTTATGGATACATGTAGAGTGCTAACATAAAAATCAAACATTTCTAAGACGTAAATTATCCACCTTTTAATGAAAATTTACATTATACAAATTTCATGCATCATCCTTCAAAATAAAATTCTGGTCAGCTAAATTGGACGCAGCATGATTGAGCAACAATTAAATAATTAAATAATATCCAATGGGTCCAACTAACTGGGACAGAACACAAGATCCCAGGTTCACACCACTCCCTCGAAGCAATGACAATGGACAAAATGACTGGATAAATTTCATTCTTTTTGCATTACATTCTGTTAAATTTTCATAAAATATACATAAACTAAACTATTTCTGAGGTCTCCTGAATGCAGTTATTACAGTGCACACTTGGTTGCCTCCGAGTTGCAAAATTGCCTTGTGTGACCCGACAATTCTGACGACAAGGTAATACTCACGTGGTAACTTATTGAGTTCCTCCATGATCTTATCCCCAAACTGGTTGAGTACGGTGCCGCCTTTGCCCCCCTCCGTGACCCCCGCCGGTGCCCCTGTGGCCGGGGCTACCCCCCTTTGTTCTGTCTCCTGGACGGCAGGGTCTCCGGCATCCCCCTCCATCAGCTTACGCATGATATAGCCGACCGGTTCCATCCTGACGGGCTGGGCTGGGATTCCGCTTCACGACCTGGGTGATGCATGAGGTATAGAAAGAAACGAAGAATGCTTAGTAAGCGAAGGTACATCTGAATATGGTTGGACTTTAGAAATTAGCTCATGCCAAGGATGTACTGTACAAGTCTTAACTAAGATCACACATAGACTGTGGACAAGTTATACAGAATTTTTTTTTCTCGCAGACTGAAAAACATTGTGCAGACATTTAAAAGTCCCCACAACGTGTCAACTTCTGCACCATGCGGTTTCTTCGAGGGTATAATTGTATAGGGGCGCACCAATTGCAACAATTAATGTACAATTGGAATGACAAGAAATTTTGTTGATATTTTTGTATGAACGTACATGTGCATGAACATGTATGTATCACATACCGGTACACATGTTCATGTTACAGTTATGTCTACATGATGGATACATACATGTACATGTACATTTGCACATGTACATGTAATGTGTACAATATGTGTACAATAATTGTACAATAATGTTACATTGAGGGTGCTTTAGATATGCCACGTGCAACTGTCCTCAATTAGCCTGTGCTGTGTTTTCTTCAGCCATGCATACAATTGCAAATACATGTACCGGTAGTCTGAGACCAAAAATAGGAAAATTCGCTCAATCCAATTAAAGACCAAATATCTGGCATGACTGTTTGAATTGACATGATTTTTTTTTCTTCAATTGCCACACCAGGATGTTTTAAAAAGCAATTCTCGAAGAACAGATGGTCCACTGTAACATATGAAATATTAACTACCAGGTAATGTGAATGCATATTGTACAGGGTAGATATCAGACTTCCTCAATGCAGGCAGCACAAAAGACAGCAGTGGTCCTAAGAACTGTCTGGCCTTCTTTAAGATGGGCCAAATGGGCCACTAATTACCATACATCTATGGCAAAGGAAATCTGAATGTAGGGGTAGTTGCTGAAGGTCGTACATGCAATGCTGTGACTGATTGTGTCTAACACCTCAGAGGTGTCTTCTTCTTGCAGTCCCTGGTCCACAGCATCAAAACTTCACATAGGCCTACATGTACGTGTACAAGTACATGTGTACTGGGAGCTGTTGCCATGCATGAGGAGGAATAATCCAAAACTGTGAACCTATGCAGGGGTATTCGTTTGCTTAAAAATTACCTATCCTTGTACATTTATTAAGCGTTCAAATACGGGTTTACAAGTGTCATTCTATACATTTGAGGGCCACTTTTTTTCCCGTCCCCATTACATCTGGCATCTGTATGACTTTGTAATTCTGGAAGCACACTGTGTAATAGAGTGATGAATCTAGCAAAGTACCTGCATGTACCAGCACCACTACCAAACAAATAAACAATTACTTTGAAGCGGTCTTTAATGACACCTGACATGAATTGCAAATTACAAAGTTCGGAGGTACATGTACATGTAACAGGGACAGGACAAATTTCACACTGACTTTTTACCCTAAATTTACGGAATGACCACATGGAAAATTAGGTACATGTACATTGTAGCAATTTAATGAAAAAAGAAGAATAAAACTAAAAATTTCACTTAAAATTCTGTAGCAAAAACAACTCCTTCAGTACTTCATCAGATGCAATGAAGAAGGGCACCATCACACAAGGATACAGCCTAAACAAAAGGTGATGATGAGTCAGTGCTGTTGTGTGACAAAAAGCCACGATCCCTCATTAAGTCCACATCAATACAGTCCAGTCCATGAATAATCCTTTGTTCTGCTGCTTCCCGGCGTCCACCCTTGTTATGCATCCTTGAGACACATCAACATGAATTGACGATACAGGATTGCAACCACGACAAGCAAATCTATATTTCTTTAAAAACCAAATAACGACATGCCTAAGTTCTAAAGCCCGACTGTTCATGTACATGTAGACACACATGGGTCGTTCTCAAAATTCTGCTCCCAAGTGTGACATTTTTCCTGTCCCTGTTACCTTGGTACATGAACTTTGTAATTTGCCATTCAACTTTCAAGTATGATAATGAATGACTTCAGATGATTTTTGTTTGTTTGTTGGGTAGGCACATAATCACTCTTGGAGGATGACTCCATTAACCCTACCTCCCTACTGTCTTAGTACTGGACCAACTCCGCCAAAATCCATCAATCACACTGCTTCCAATGCATGCTTTGCTTTCGGTCCCCAGGCCCAAGTCCATCATACTCCATCAATATTTAGTCAAATCAGGTCTGCAGGACCAAGTCCCCCAAAATCCACTTGATGGAGTTGGGGAGGTTAGGGTTAATTCTGTATGAAATCATTGACGTTATACCAGAGACAGGAAAAATGTGGACCCCAAATCTATAAAATGACCCATGCACCGGTACATGTATACATTGTATGAAAAGACATATCGTAAACTACATGTACTAGTATGTACATTTGTAATACTACATTCCTCTCAGATTTTTCCTCTCAGGATTTTCCTCTGTGCATGTTGAGGTACATGTATCTAAGTAAAATACAGTACAAGAAGTAACCCAACAGCAGTACAAAGCGAGAGACTGCCAAATAAACAAAAAAATATTAACGACGGGTGACTACACATAACAGATGAGCTGTGTTGTACTGGTACACTGCAAAAACCACTTGTTTTTTAAGCAAATATAACGCAGCCAATTTTTTTTTAATACATATTAAAAAATTTAACCTATAAAATATATCCCGTTACCATAGAGGCCTGCAAAGATCCTCAAAATTCTTCAGCTCCAAATCCTCTTGAGATCCGAGCCCAACGTCATCAGTTGTCAGCAAGCCACGATGCATACGCACATCAGATATTTCGGGCCTGAATTTCATGCGCCAGAGGAACGTGACGGTCCGGCCGGAACCCCAAACGATTCAATGATAATCCCAGCTACATACAAACGGGAGGCAGTAGGTGTAATTATAACCAAGCGCGTGATTCACTTTATCATACAGCGTGACGTAAACTCACAAAAACACACACACTGGCGTCATAATATCGCGGGACCGTCTCTTCTTCGCTGGCACACAGTAAAACGGTACACGTCGGTCAAATGTCTACAGTACTGTGCATCCGAACGGTGCACTCACATGACAGAGAGAACAACCGTGCATAAGAAGCAAGCTTATGATAATTACGTCCGCCAAAGGTTTTTACCGTGTTTAAAATTCTCCATGGCACGTACCATTTGAAGCGGTGGGTGGGTTCATCACAATACGTGCTTCAAAAATATAATGATGTCAGATGACGTGACAATATTTTTTGCTTTGTGATTAGGCCTATATTACAAAAAGTATACATGTACTTGGAATATTGGATTGTTTTGCTCATAATTTGACAACTGCTTAAAATTCACTCACTGACAAGCAAGTCTACAAAAATGTAGTACGTGTAAATTAAAAAACAGCTTTGGTCTCCACTTGAAAAAAGGTATCCAAAATAGCCTGTTCATCTGCGTTTACATTTTGTAAACGTAGTTTTTAAAATGTACATTTTTATGTTGTCTTTACATGCACACCCAATTCTAATACTGATATAGGCTACAGTCATGACAGTACATGATGTACGTACTTACTGCGTTAATTTAAGTTTCTCTTATTTTTTAATAATATTTTCATGTAATTTACATGTAATCATGTGTACACAGTATGGGAAAGTACATGTAAGTTGGGTGACACACAACCTGATTATCACTGGATTGGTGTTTTGCAGCTTAGTGGTTTTTGTATAATTTTTTAACCCTAACCTTCCCAAATCCTCTAAAATCCTCTTTGCAAATTGGAGGATTTTGCAGGATTCAGTCTACAAAATTAGGCAAAATATGTGGCTGATATTGGAGGCTGCACTGTGTTAAGGTCTTGGGCCGGACCCTGTGCTGTTTGTGCTTAGCCGTGCATAAACTTAGGCCTAGATTATAGGCCTACTTGAAATCCTCCGCACTGCTCCAGGATGTCACTGGCTCTGCCTCAACATGACATTAATTGCTGGAGGATTTTGCAGGATTGAGCCCACCCCTCCAAGGACCACATTCGAGAAATAACGGATGATTTTGGAGGATTGAGGCTGTATGCAATGTTTACATGGTTGGAGGATTTTGCAGGATTGTACTCTACACGACACATGTGTACCGGTACATGTAGTCATGTACTGCTGATGCACATGAAATTCATATTCTGATTGCAATGACTATGTGTTCCCACCGTATTATTACATGTTGTATCTTCTGTACAGATGCGTACCCTACAAGTAGATATATTGCATCTGTACACGTTTATACTAGTATCAAGCCTACAGCCAGGCATTGATTCTGAGCAAATAAGATTGCAATACAGGAGTGCCTGACTGACCACTGACGTCAACCGCTGCACTCCAGCAACCAAGCAATGCAAATAGGGCTTGGCTGTATAGAGTAATGACATCACGGCTAGTCACAATACGGCACATGACACGGATACATGTACCGGTACAGGCAAAGAAAAGGGGACCATGCACCACTAAAGGTTAATTTCCAGCTGTCGTCCTTCATGTCTTTATGATCAAATTCAATGCATACGATGTATGTTCATGTAAATGCACTTATTCTGAGCATGTACATGTATGTGACAATTATGTATGATTTTTAATGCCCTTTAAATGATATTAATTGTCAATTGAAAGTACAGTATGCCATCTTGTAAATATTATATGTCCACCTTACAGTACGAAAACAGTGCTGAAAAAGCATACATGTAGCATTCTTTGTCAAAACACATTGAAGCCTTTGATCAAATACATTTTTGTAAATTTTCAATTTACAAAATAAACAATTTTGCATTTATAACAAAATAAACAAGGGGGAACAAAGCATACGTCGGTTTTTTTACAAATTGGTTGAGAAATTATGGAAACCATGAAAGTATTAAAACCTAATCATGCGAAATAATTATGATGATCTGGCCGGATTTATGATGATCTGGCCGGATGTACTGCACAATTTTTGGTATCATACACAGTATGCTTACAAGTAAGTACTGTTGTACAAAAAATGTTATGTACAAAATATACTATGCCAGTCTGGGACCTTGAGTGCTGAAAAACATGCCACACAAAATCAGGCCAACTTTACTCACTCTTTAGCTGACTAAATTCTCCAAAATTGTTATGAGGCAAAGACAAGGTCCTCAGTATTTCATCAGCCAAGTTTGAGGTCTGAATTCAATTTTAAAGGAGACTCAAGTATTTTGCACCTGAGAGTGATGCAAAGGGATTTCAATCTGAAGCCTAAGACTAGACTTGTACATGTCAAACTTTTGGCAAAGATTGACCCATCGGAAGTCTGGTGGCATGACCTGAGAAATAGAGATCAGGTACGTTTCTTTTGACACAGTTGACTGATTTAAATACTACATGGGTGTTGGACTGGTTGTTTCTGTGCCAGTCTATTTTATTGTACAAAAGTTGTAGCTCTATAGCCAGGCATGCAACTGTTCATTCGGAAAAAAAAGAAGAAAATTCCAAAATTCAGAAGACTTTGTACAGTGTTTTTCTATTTTGAATGACAGAAATGAGAATAAAAAAAGAGGAAATCAGCTGATCCGAGGAAAATTTGCATGCCTGTATAGCATGTTTTCATTATCTTAAGTTTTGAGTAGTGAAAGTCTCAAATGTTCAGATTAGTAAGTAAAGTACTACGCATGCATACTGTACATCTTCAAAACATTGAGATTTTCAAGCTGGAGTGGGCTCCGGTTTTGCTTTTTACCGAGTTATCAACCTTGCAAATACTTGCCTGGCTACCCTTATCTCTTAATGGCATTTTTATCTTGTTTGTAAGCCAAACATCAAATATTCTTTTAGAGCTCTCTACATACCACCAAGGCTAATGTGATTATTTGTGAAGGAGTGGTCAACCTACAAATTTGTACACAGTATGGCAAACTTGGCCATGAGCCAGCCAGCAAAAACTGAAACATCAAACAAAATGCTTGAGTGGAGACTAACCAAGGCTTCGTTCAGTCAGTTTCAAGCATTAGCCATAAAATTTAATCTTTGCAAACACTTTCTGAAATGTCAGCGCATAAAACAAGTTTGTAATTGTTTTTGCAAGAATTCTTGTACAACCCTTTTGATTTTTTTTCTCGATTAAAATTATCTGTGTTTTTGTAAACCAGTAAACCAAATCCTTACGACAGAGCTCTTCTTTTTTTTTAATGTTCATTTGTACATTAGGCATTTTGTTTCTAGGATGCAACCTCAATCCTGCAAAATCCTCCAACTGCCTACATATATAAATTGCATACAGCCTCAATCTTGCAAAATCATCCGTTATTAGGGTGACCACTGCCTCAATCCTGCAAAATCTTCCAGCAATCACTGTCAATATGTTGAGGCAGAGCCAGTGACATCCTGGAGCTGTGCAGAGGATTTCAAGTATAATATACAGTATATGTGGCCTACCTTTATGCACGACTGAGCATAAACAACAAAAGGTCCGGCCCAAGACCTTGACACAGTGCATCAGTCAAAATCAGCCACACGCAATCCTGCACAATCCTCCATTTTTCAAGGAGAATTTTGGAGGATTTGGGAAGGTTAGGGTTAATTAATCAATTTTGCAGTTGCTTTTCAAGAAGTGGCAGGCGGTGGACGCACATCTAAAAATGCCTTTCTCGTGGCCTAAAGTACAATTTTACAAAATCAACTTCCAAAGCTTTCTTCACTGGTGGGCCTACAAAAAGTAAGACAAACCATGGACAAACAAACCGCCTACACCAAAATGTATACATTATTTTCATCAAAACACTTTTAAATATAGAAATTAGGTTTATTACAATTACACAAGAAGATTTCTTGATATTAAAGTCAGTCATTTTAAATGAAACTTTAAAAATAAAATTAAGAACATAAAGGGGGTCCGAAAATAAACCCAGCACTTGGCTATTGTTATGGCAGTCGACCGTCTGGTTCCCTGACCATGATGCTGACCTCAACGTCAGGATCTTTTGCTCTTGGAACCAGACTATCAACTGAATGGTTCTTGGACTTTATTTCCCTTTAAAAAAAATCAACCAAACAAAGCCATGGATTACACATGAAAAAGAAAATTAAATCTACTTCAATTAAAAGTAGAATTTGATTAAAAACATAAAAGTACTAGGGCCTACTACTACTAGTCTAGTAGTAGTATTAAGGCCAAGGCCTAAATGAAACTAGGGTGCTGTGGTCCAGTGGTTACAGTGTTCGACTCGTGTGCCGTGGTACATGGGTTCGAATCCTGATGGGGAACATGGTGCTTGTGCGCTTGCGCAATGCACTTTACTACGATTGCCTCTGTCCACCCAGATGTAGTAAATGGGTACCAGGTAGGAAGAAATTCTTTCAATGCTTGAGCCCCGTAATGGCAGCCGTGCTAAAGCCAGGGTAATAATAAGAGCGCCAGGAGCGTCACTTTGTGACGGACATGAGCCCTATACAAGACGCCATTATTATTATTATTAAAAGAAAAAGTGTTTATTGCACTGCCAGTGCCGTAACGATCTGACAATAGCAGATATAAATCGCGTTATGGCTGCTGTAACGTCACAATTGCAGAATACCCCGCCACTCCTTCTATGCAACTCCATGACCTCGTAGCCGGCTACGGAGTAACGGTTGATTGCCCTCAATAAACCTTAACGCTACATGTATGTACTATGCGTCATGCTCCACTACACTCCCACTCTGTATCCGCGTAGCCGGCAACAGGGTAGTTGAGCAACTCCCATTACTTTTGTGTTGCTTCGTTCTCAAGCATAATTATAAGGACTCCCACTTTGTATCCGCGTAGCCGGCAACAGGGTAGTTGGTTTGGACTTACAATTTTTTTCAGCAACTCCCATTCATTTTGTGTTGCTTCGTTCTTGAATTGTTTCTTTTCCAGTGATTCCAACCTCATAGCCAGAGAATTTGGGGGGTGTATTTCCGAGTGGCGGGGTATTCTGCAATTACTCTGCCGTAACGATAGCCCACTACTACTACTAGACATAGTAACATTAAAAACTACACAATCAACAACATTTCTGACATGTCAAAAAATTAATCTTGTTTTAAAAATAATTAGGCCTAACTTGTAACAAAATGTGTAGGCCTAAGTCATGTAACTACGAAGTGGCTATCGTTACGGCAGCCGTTGTTTAGCGCCCTCTACGATACTTTTTTGATACGCACGCCGGCACGCGGCAGGTATATATAATTATTTGTTTCCCCACGTTTTAGTGAGCAGTGCGACAGCTCAGTCGATAGAGGGTAGGATTTTGCACCGCGAGGTTGCGGGTTCGCATCTCAGTTTTGCACTTGAATTTTTTTCCTTTTCTAACCTGAGGCTTTGGAGGATTTTTTTAAAAGGGAAATAAAGTCCGAATTTCATAACGTTCAAATTCACTTTTTTCCTTCTAATTTTATATTTTCTTCTCATGTTTTTATAAAAGTTGCAGTCTACCGTAAGGATAGAAAATGGGAAATGCGTTACAGCTGCCGTAACAATAGCCACTGCGATGTAACTAAGTTGTAGTTTTATTTGAGTCTGCTCTGGCATATAAAAAAAGTGAAATTGTGTGTTTTAAGGCAGCTACAGATAATCACTGATTAAACAAACAAGACGTGTTTCCTCATTTTTCTCAATAACGCTATCCGCAAGACATGCAAGAATACATTTCAAGCTCACTGGATCTCACAGCACCGGCACGAAGAAACTTACGCTCCCAGGCCAGGGGAACATACGTATTCCTCGCACTGCAAGGAAAGCAGGAGATAAGGCCCTCACTGTGGCGGGTCCAAGAATCTGGAACTCCATCCCACAATCAGTTCGATGCTCCACCTCAATACATATGTTTAAATCCTCACTTAAGACCTAGGCCTACCTGTTCACTTGATTCATGTTAATGTTCTTTTTTGGTTTTTCCTACTATCAGAGGTGTCCTTGGTTGCGCTTTGTAACCTTTGGAAAAGGCGCGTTATAAATGTAATTATTATTATTATTATTATTAAGAAACTGGTTTTAATATTCACTTTCAACTGTGCTAGTGTGGGAACACCTACCAAAACGCCCACGATCTCAAACCCCGTACTCCGTACGACGATGCAGTGCTGAAGCTACTCCTGTTTTGGGAAGTTAAGTGGTTGTCACCTTTTTCGAAGAGGAAAACTGTCAGATCCCACGGATCAACCTCATGTTCCCCTCCACCAAAGGCACAAAAATGTTTGCCTTTCTCCTTCGCCCTATTCCAAAACACGGGGAACTGTTGTCATCGGCCAGAGAGAATCAATTATTTTCAGGCAAAAATCGATGTGGGAGATGGATTTCACCGAAGCATAATGCAAATGCAATGCATTTTAATAGTAAATAATACTAACCCTTTTTTGCAAAGCACGGCCGTATGGTGTCGCTGGTATCTGTCGCGTGTAAACCAGCTATTACTAGTCTTTCTCTCGAGTGGAGTTTCAACTTGACGAAACAAGACTAATGGTGGGCAACCACGTCCCCGGTGCTTACTTTATTTCCAACTGCGTTTCCAATAGGTAGTGGTGGGCGCGTACTGCTCGACATCCTGAGGTCGAGGTTGAATGGTGGGTTTTTAAATCCCGGCATCGTTCTAAGTACGGGTTTATCTCTAACATTTTAATCAGTGGGAACGTTTTAGTTTCTACACATAATAAAAAAAATATCATTTTTTGGCATAGGAATAGATTTGATATTTTGGAAGCAGTAAATATGCCAAGAGTCCGCTATGTAGTGGCCTAGACCTATTTAATAGCCGAACTTCAAACGAAGTATCGGTTTATTAAACAGCTGCAACTTGTCAACAGAACAAAAATTAACACAAGAGGGCACTCTTTCACTTCCAGTGCAGACCTGCAAGACAAGCAAGATGGCAGCGTCTAGTGCAAGAGTTGGATCAAATCCCAACACTACCGTGGCTGGGATTTTCGATTCCATGAATTATGGCCCAAATCCCGAGGCAGCTACCTCTGCGCAGGTAACGAAATTAACCGAAGTTGATCAGAGTTTACTTGTTCAACTTTAATCTGAAATTCGCCTCACGTGAACCTGTCTTGTCTAAAATAATTTTAACGTGGAGACAGGCTCGGAGCTCGGCCTCCTGTCGATGCCTGTCCTGCGTTCGCACAGCATGCAGTCAGACCGATCGCCATGGCAAAAGCCGGGGCGGATCCAGGAATTTTTGCAGGGGTGGGGGGGGGGGGTGGAAACTATGTTGCTACCTGATGCCAGTTTTTCTTCATATATCAATCATCTCTATGAAGGTCATTCATTGCAAAAACGATGATAAAATATGAATCTGGGTCTGGGACTGAGAAATATTTCCAATTTTGTTAGGAAATACAAAATTACACAAGCGTGGAAGTGGCGTCAGGTTGCAACGCCTGAAAAGCATCTGTAAATCGCGCGTGCAGGGCAGAACTCGCAGGTACGTCTACAGTATCCTGACTACCGATTACGCAGTGCAGAACTTGTATGATCGGCCAATCGCACAGCAAGTTTGCATGTTGGATTTATCCCCGTAAATGTGACTCGAAGTTTAAAGACTGTACTCTGGTACTTCCTCCGTATTTAGAGCCACACAACGGTGCATGCAAAAATTCCGGAAAAGTTGTGAATTTAAAATCCAGACTGTTTTTTTTTTGGTCACTTGATCATTTTAATAATGATAATTTTGATATGGAAGCTACAACTAATCTAGTTAATAACCAGGGAAAATCAAAAAGTCAAAGGTCCACAACCATGATGACGCATGACTTCGAGAAAAACCTGCAATCGTATCGGATAAACTCTCTCCAAATTTCACCAGACACAAGTTGGAAAAAAAGAGATATGTTGACAAGACTCAAGAGATGCTATGGAAATGCCTCTTATCTGCCTCCTCGGCCCAACAGTCCTTATCGCAAATATCACTCAAGCACTGTGGGAAAGAAAAAGGGGCACTAGTATCTGTGCGTTTTCTCTTCCCACAATACTTGTTATCCATTGTGCAAATTCCCTCAAGCAGTATTTACTTGCTTGTGCGGATGGGACCATACTTTCTCCCTCTGAAGTGACATATTTATAGCCTTCTCCTTCTGTCACATATCCAGGCATGGCTTGAGAGTCACGACCGTAGTCTGGGTCACTTCATCGACAATCAGTGGGTGAAGCCCGCGGGCCGAGGCACGTACACCACCAAGGCACCAGCCAGCGGTGAAACCTTGGCCACTACACTCCAGGGGGAAGATGATGACGTCGAGTTGGCTGTGACTGCGGCTTCAAGGGCTTACGAGTCATGGAGCAAACTGCCTGGCCATGTCAGGGCAAGGCATTTGTATAGGTACATGCGTACTACTACATGTACTACTAGTATTTGTAACAACGTTGTAGTGAAGTCCTTACATATGTCAATCATAAGTTAAACACAAGTGATTTAGTCTCAAGCCAACTCACAAGCTATTCAAAGAGCTTAGACCTCACTTGTGATCTGGCTTGTGATCTGACTTGTGATTGACTTGTGATGGATTTTAAGATCTGACATGCTTGGAATTGACTTGAGATCCGACTTGTTATTGACTAGTGATTGACTTGTGATCTGACTTGTGCGGGACTTCAGATCTGATTTGTGATGGACTTGAGATCTGACTTGTGATCTGACTGGTGATTGACTTGTAATTGCCTTGTGATTGACTTGTGATAGACTTGAGATCTGACTTGAGATCTGACTTGTGATTTGACTTAAGATCTGATTTGTGATGGACTTGAGATCTGACTTGCTATTGGCTAATAATTGACTTGTGGTCTGACTTGTGTTGTGATGGCATGTGATCTGACGTATGATGGACTTGTGATCTGACTTCTGGCAGACTTGTGATGGATTTGTGATCTGACTTGTGATTGAACTGTGATCTGACTTGTGATCTGACTTAATATCTGACTTCGGTTCTGACTTGAGATCTGACTTGTGATTTGACTTAAGATCTGATTTGTGATGGACTTGAGGTCTGACTTGTTATTGACTCGTAATTGACTTGTGATTTGACTTGTGATGGCCTTGTGATTTGACTTGAGATCTGACTTGAGACGGCCATGAGATCTTAATTGCGACGGACTTGTGATCTGACTTGTGATGGACTTGTGATCTGACTTGTGATGTCTTTACCACACCTCATATATACAATTTTAGAAGGTTGTTTTGCGTAACTCTTGCCATCTCAAAGTGGTTTTTTATCGCCCTGCGTGGCAGAAACAAATAACGAAGTAGTGTTGTAGTCGAGTCCATCACAAGTCCAGTCAAAAGTAAACCACAACTCTTTTTATAAGTCCAGTCACAAGCGACAAAGGATGAACAATTACAAAGGATCGCTTTTGTCAGATCATTTCAGTAGCTTGGAAGTTAACCTAGCACTGGATGACCTGTGATCGTTGGTTTCTCTTTTCTTTCCTGAAGCGTTGCTCGTCACATTCAGAAGCACCAGCGCCTTATCAGCGTGATGGAGAGCCTTGACAATGGTAAGCCCATCAGAGAATCCCGCGACTGTGACATCCCGCTGGTGGTGCGGCATTTTTACCATCACGCCGGCTGGGCGGAGCTAATGGACGAAGAGATGGGAGGCTGGAAGTCATTTGGTAAGAATGCTTCATTGATGCAAAATTTAAGATTTAATTAAAGACGAAATTGTAATAGCACTGTATAGGGCAAGTCCAAAAGAAAGTGACCGAATTAGAAAAATATTTAAAAAAATATGTGACTCCATTTCATAAATAAACATTTCATGAGATAAAGTACACGGTATTGACTAGTTCACTAAACTCATTTCTAGCCAGTCTCAAGACACACCTCCATGACCAGCTCACATTATAGCGCAATTTACTTAATCTTAAGTTTAATCTTCGGGCTTCCCTTTATTGTGTTATTTCCCTGCCATTTGTAATCTTGTTCTTGTGTATTTGTTTGCCTTTTTTGTCCTGTTCATTTGTCATTATGTGCGGGTCCGCAACAGTGATTAGATTCGCTTTTGCGGTCCCTGACCCACATAATCGTTTTCTTTGTGATTTTTTGTGTCTTACTGGTTATTGTTCAACTCCCAATTGGGAAGCCCACTCCAGCTGTCATTTAAAGTGCATGCCCTCTACTTCATGATTTTTTAATAATTTAAATTTTAATTTAAATTTAAATTACATGTTTATACGTTTCTTTTGTTGTGCGTTTCAACCACTTTTGTGTAATTTTTGTTTGGTTTTGTATCACTGTTTTTAATTCTTTGTTGAGGTCGAATAAATAATAATAATAACAATAATAGTAATTGTGAAAATATCACGTAATTTTCATACTCTATTCTAAAGCTATGTCAATTTTAATTTTAAAAAATCAGAAACTTCAGCTGTCCACCACTGATCATGATATCACACACAAGGTAGCGTTAAAAAAGTCGCAGTACTGGTGAAATGCTCGCAAACGGGTTGGTGTTTTACGGTTACATTATGTGGGAAACAATATGGCACGGGCTTTCATGTGCCAGTGAGAGGCTCTATTGTTTCACTCTGGAGATAATATTCTTGCAAACACGTTCGTAATTTACAGTCTTATTTTGTGGGCACGGGCACAGGTTTTGATTGGCGCCAGTGAAGAGGTTCTATTGTTTCATGCTGAGGTATGAATACCACAAGTGGGTTTCTTGAACATGATTGTGGCAAAGTATTTCAGAATCCTACCAATGTTATACAATGAGCTTATTGCGGACAACCTTGTCTGCAGCTGTGCCTCGGTACTTTATGAGATGGCTTTATAGTGTGATTGTTTTGTTACTCCCGACAGGTGTGGTTGGCGCCATTGTTCCATGGAACTTCCCCCTGATGCTGCTGACTTGGAAGGTCTGCCCGGCCCTAGCCATGGGTAACACCGTGGTCCTGAAGCCGGCTACCTTCACCCGCCTGAGCGCCTTGCTCTTTGCCCAGATCTGCGCCGAGGCGGGACTGCCGCCGGGCGTCTTCAACGTGGTCACAGGCAACGGGGCTTTCGGCAGCAAGCTGGCGGTGCACCCTGGGATTGATAAGGTTGCCTTCACGGGCTCCACGGAGGTAGGTTGCGCGTCTACTGATCTCGTATTGACTGGTTATATAGTGTTGAGAACTTGGATCATAGGCTGAAGTCACTTAGGTGCCATCTTGAGAGGCCTAAAATACACACAAACCTGTGCGCACAGGTAGGCATACACCGCGTTATGGGGAAGTTTTTTATTGTTAAGGAAATTAGGACCGAGTTATGGGGACTTTCTGCTGTCCCCATAGCATTTTCGGTCCTCACAAAAACCTCGTGGCGATGAGTGTAAGTCCCCACAACTACGAAACAAGAATTTACAATCTTGTTAGTGTGTTCATTAGTGTGTATTTAGTGTACATAGCGTCAGCCATTGGAGGCCTACAAAGTGACTTTTCATGGCTTCACTTTTCTTTGCATGGCAATTGGTGCGTGCACTATCCAGTCAGATCAGTGGCCAAGTAAGAGTTGATATTCGGGCAAAGTTTCCCTTTACTTGTTAATTTTGCATTGCTTGGAATATAAGTTCATGATGGTTCTAGCTATAGACTAATTCAGTGAACAAAATTAGAAGCCATTTTGAGGTGGAACCATGTTTGCATGCATGCCGCATGAGTTCTTAAAGACGAGGCATGTGTGCATTTGGTTAATCCTATTGCTCTAAGCAGCCTAAAGTGCATGTGTACTACTGAGTGCAAGCCTGGGCCCACCTCAGAAATAGTTTCTAATTTTGTTCACAGAATTTGTCTATATTAGAGTATGTTTTTTCCCCTGAAATTATCCAGGTTGGTCAGATTTTGCGGAAGGCAACGGCAGGAACTGGCAAGAAGCTGTCCCTGGAGCTGGGAGGGAAGTCGCCCTTCATCGTCTTTGACTCGGCAGATCTGGATGCAGCCGTGGAGGGGGTGGTGGATGCCATCTGGTTCAACCAGGGAGAGGTAGGTATACTGGAAGTCTAGATGTGAATGGCGTGTTGAATAAGATGTGGATAGTTGATTGCACAGTGGATGCCATCTGGTTCAACCAAGGAGAGGTAGGTACAGTAGAAGTCAAGATGTGGATGGCATGTTGAATGAAGTGTGGGTAGTGGATTGCACAGTGGATGCCATCTGGTTCAACCAAGGAGAGATGGGTACAGTTGAATTCAGGATGAGGATAGTGGATTGCCTAGTGGATGCCATCTGGTTCATGTAACTATTCTATTTTGAAGTATATTTCCTTTCAAAGTTTTAATGCTCGTTTCATATTAAATAACGCAGCATGATTTTCCATATGGCTGCTGCCGGTATGTGAAAATGGCCAGTCAATATGGCAGTCCACCTATGCTAACACTTTTTGTTATATTGTGTGCTTGGATACTTTAATTTCATTGGTCTAGGACGGCCACGTTTCTGGACAGTAAAAATGCAGTGATATTGCACTGCATTCATTGCAGGTTAAGGAATGTAAGGAATACCCTGAAAGACTATTGAACTGAAACCTTTTTTCCAAATAAACTGCAAAGGGAAACTGACTAGGTGGTATGTGCATTATACTGGTATTAAAGTTTAACAAAGAAATGGACTGGAGCAGGGTTAAAACCTGCAACCTCTGGATTACCAAACCGGCGCTCTACCCACTGAGCTGCCCTTGTTCAAGTGGTCCTTGTACAAAGACATTGCCAGAATGGAGAACCCGCCAACATAGGGCTTGATAGCTCAGTTACTAGCGTGACCGAGCGGTTATCTTGAGGTTGCAGGTTCAAACCCCACTCCAGTCAAGATCACTGTTCAAGTTTCAAAAAAATTGAAACCTTCATTGAATGACAGGTGTGCAGTGCTGGCTCTCGCCTGCTTGTCCACGAGACTGTTAAGGGCAAGCTGCTGGATAAACTCCGGGATCGGATCATGGCGCTGCGGCTCGGCGACTCCCTGGATAAGTCCATCGACGTTGGAGCAGTGGTCGATCCCTCCCAGCGGGCCACCGTTGAGAAATATGTGGAGGAGGCTAGAGCCGAAGGGGCAGAGGTGAGCCGGGGTCAACTGGCATGACTCCAAAAAAGTTTCTCATTTCACCACAGAAGCAAAAGTGGGGTGTGTAGCCTTCTTTGTGCATGACAAGAAGAATTTGTCAAGATGGTTTATACAGTTAGTATTTTCATCTATGGATTTCAAATTAGTGCATGCTCTCCCGAGTTTTGAATTTGTTGACTCAGACTCAAATCAAGTCATATCTGCAAAAGACTCAACTCATACTCGAACCCGACCATTATGACTCGGACTTGCGAGTCACATATTTTGTTTACCCCCCAAAAAACCTTGTTGCAAATACAATGTTTATTATTAAATGCACCCCTCTCTATTACCCGCGACAGTGCATCACTTACATATCGCTTACATATATGTGTGCCCTTGTCCATGCACATCCATTCCGTACAAATGCTACGCAGACTCGGACTCAGACTTGAACCAAATGACTCCGGGCTTGGACTTGGACTCTACCCAAGTTACTCAAGATTCAGACTCGGACTTGACTCAAGTGACTCTGGACGACACTGCAGTTAAGGGTGAAAGATTTCTAATCATCCATTGTAATTGTATGGGTTTGCGTTATAACCATTACTGCATTTCACTTTTCACAGATCATTCAGAACACACAGTGTCTTCCAGCGAATGGATGCTTTTACCCACCGACTGTCATCGCCAATGTTCAGACATCTTCCAAGGTCGTCATGGAAGAGGTAAATTTGTATTTGATGGGATTCCTGACCCTGTTGCACACTAGTGTCATTGCATTTTGACTTGTTTCTCCAAGATGATTACTCACTTTAAGGCCCTAATACAATAATGCGAAGATGTATGCAAGTCATGAATACTTACGCACAAATTTGTGAAAGTGTAATTTTTTTGTCCAATTTGGTTAACTATAAAATTGTCAGAATAGATCCAACAATGGACATTAATTCTGCATATTCTTCTCTTAAAAAAAGAAGGAAACTTCTTATTGTTTACAAAAATGTGATGAATGTTTAAGTTATATTAAATGTTTTTCGTCCCTTCAATGATACTACAGTCTCAAAATTAAGTATTTGAGTGTTCATTAAAGTATAAATTAGAAAGGACCCATAGAATCTTAAATATTGTGAGAATAATATTAATTTATTATGCCAACATCCAGAAAGAGACATTTCTTTGATTTGTAAAATATCTGTTTCAAAAATTGTGAAGAATCTCAAGCCCCTTGAATAATTTACGTTTTTAAGCTCTGGCTGGAGCTTCTACATGTCACTTGGTGGTCGGTTTTTAATTTAAAAAAAGCAAAGAAAATATATGAAATACTTAGCAAAAATTGTTTGTGACAGCTCGGAAAGATGTTTATGAAAAGTTTGTAAATGGAGGCAACATATGTGCGGTAATGTTATAGTCACATGGTATTCATCACAAATTGCTATAAATGTACGTATAAATCTAAAGTATGTTGTTCCATATGAGCCATCGGCATCACAATTGTTGGGCGTCCCATTTTTAAGCTCTGGCAAGGGTCAGTTTGAGAGATGTCATGCAAGACTTTCATGCAAGACGGCCAGAGCTTATTGTGCACGCGCACTTGTTTATTTGGAATGCACTAGAAATCGTTCAAAACGCAATTAGTACCATTTTGTTACTCTGTATGTTCCATTAGGTTTCATATGCGTGCTAATTTTTTACTTTTGTCAAATGGATATACATGTATAGTGTTTGGAAAATAAACTCTTCAAATTTCCAACATATGAAAGTAGACATTTTGATGATTTGTGTAAAAAAATAAACAATACATTCACTGATAATGTTAATGGCTGTGATTGTTGGCACTTACTTGGTCTTTCCTCTCCCCCCCCCCCCCCTTTTAGATTTTTGGACCTGTTGTGGTGGTCCTCCCCTTCCGGACTGCCAAGGAGGCAGTGGCCCTGGGCAACAACACAAACTACGGCCTGGCCGCCAGCGTGTGGACAGAGAATGTCAGTCTGGCCCTGGAGGTAGCCCTGAGCATGAAGGCAGGCAGTGTGTGGGTCAACGGTCACAACATGTTTGATGCAGCCAGCGGGTTCGGAGGGTATCGGCAGAGTGGATATGGGCGTGATGGTGGCAAAGAGGTAAGAGACAAGGGTCTGTCTAGGTCCCAGACCAAAACGATTTTGACTATTCCGACAAGTCTTAGGACAGGGCCCAATTTCATAGCGCTGCTTAACAGTAAGCAGAAAAGTTGTGCTTACTATAGCAGAAAATCAAGCTGCTGCTTAAGCACTATTTCATGCTAACGGTTGCGCGCATATGGAGATTTCTATTGTTACGTCACTGATTTAAGCAAAGTTTTCTTCTGGGGTTAAGCGTGCTTTTGCTGTGCTTACTGCTTAATGGTCCCTATGAAATAGATGGAGGCTCATTAAGCACAAAGTCGGCTGTTAAGCAGCGCTATGAAATTGGGCCCAGGTAGGCTCCATGGAATGTGACCTAAGATTTGTCAGAATAGTCAAAATCTTTTTGGTCTGGGACCTAGACTAACCCCTGTTAGTCTGGGAACTTATGAAAGGACTTGTGATGGACTCGAATATAACACTTGTATTAGGATCGTTCATTCAGTGAAACGAACTTCGGCATGGAAAAAGAAGAAGAAAAAACGCTTGAAAATCCGTCAGGGGGTTTGGGGGCTGTCAAAGCCCCAGAGGAGCAAGTATATTGTACATGGATTTATTTGCCTAAAAAGGCCTTAAAAATAGCCCATCGCTACTCTTTTATTAAAATATTTTAACCCAAAAATACTTCAATTAAAATTCTAATGAGGGCTTTTGATGTATAAATCCAGAATCAGGGGGAAATCTGGACATATCTCAGACCTTAGGAGGATCAGGGGATTGGAATCACCTTTTCGCATATGAGCTCAAACTATGAATGAATTCACAATTCCTAAGTGCTAAAAATTTGAAAAACAAACATGAACATTTTTAGCACCGCATTATAATGGTAATCTCAGTTGTTGCAACAATTATCCAATGTAACTTACAATTTGTATAAAGATATGAATGCGAATTAGACGTCTCTAATACTTACTCTCCATGTTCTTGAGAGAGGGCCGCGTGTGAACTTGTGCCTTCAGCACTCTGAATAATAAATTCTGCTTGCTATGCTGCCTTGCTAAAGTTGTACATTTCAGTCGTACATTCTAAACTGTAATTACTTCACAGGGCCTGTATGAGTATGTGACTCCAACTTGGGCGGACAAGGTACGCCCAGGTCCAGTTGAGGTCAACTACAAGACGTTTGGGGGTCACGTGCCCGCGATTGTGAGCGATGCGAACCCCAGCAAGAATGGCATTGTTGTAGATGGCCAGACCATTCCCAGGTATTGGTTTTTATTTATTCCTGCCCAGTTGCTTTTGTTAAGCTTGTCTGGGATTTTTTTTAACCCTAACCGAACTCAACCCATCAAAGTCCAACAGCAGGTGTTGTTTAAATCTGTTGGGATAGGTACAGTACCCCTAAACTGATGGTCTTTTACATTGGGTTTGGCATACCTCCAGAAACTAAGTCCACTAGGGTGTGTACGATATGCCATGTGGGTGTTGGAATTTGCCAGGATGGGTATGGTTCCTAGTAAATTAGGCTGGGGAGTTAGGGTTAAAGGCATGTAGGGACATTGGAAATTACCCGGAAACTAAACAACTGATTTAAAGGTAGGATAGATCATTTGTTATTTGTGCATTCTTTTCATTTCAAGCAAAAAAAGTGCTCAAAATCTAACGACGGGTGCTTAACAACTAACCTGATGAAGCTTTAGCTCAGTGAATGCTGTATATTCCGAGAAAACAATATTCTAGGATCTAGATTTGAATTCTAAAGTTGCCGAGTCATGTTTTGAATTGCGCCCAAAATCAGCGTTGGGGACACGTTCTCATTCAGCCGATTGCAGCTACACGATGTCACAGACTGAACTTATGAATAAAATCCATGCTGTCGAACATTTGTGAACAATTTCAGTGTCATAAAATTTAGGCTAAAATTCAAAACGGTGGCGTCCGGAAATTGGGTACAAATCATCTGAGTGTTCCCTAACGAGTCGCACTTGGAAAAATGTGGAAAAATCCCCACTTAGTTGTTAATCTTTTTTTTTTTATCAGAGTGGACCGTACTTACAAGATGTACTACGGTGGAGCCCAGAAGCGTCCCGACGGCCAATACTCGCGTCCAATCCTGAACCCTGCCGGTGATGTCATCGCCCAAGTGGGGGATGGGAATCGTAAGGACATCAGGAACGCGGTGGATGCCGCACACAAGGCAGCCCCTGGGTAAGGACTCATCAAGAAAACAGTTGACTCCTTTTTGTGTGTCCGTGTGTTTTCTTATATAGTGGTGTTCCCTAACATGGCGCACTTTGACGTTTATCCCAACTTTCCTCATGTAATGTTGCCAAACTTCTTTTTTGACAAACTTCAAATTCATTCAGTGAAATGCTTGCTAGTTTACCTCTGTGAACAATTTTGGTGTCATGAAATTTAATCCGAAATTCAAAAACGGTTGGCACAAAATCGGCTGAGTGTTCACTTGGTGCACTTGCATAAATCTCGGAAAATTCCAAATTAACATTTAAGAAAATCTGTGAAGTGGATAAATTCTAATAAACCATTATTATCTCTAGTTACAAACCCAACTAGAAGTTTGTCAGAAAATTGTTTTCTTATTTTTGGGGGACACTTTCAAAGGGTTCACTGTGCACTTCGAAATAAAATCGGAAAATCACGCCAAATATATTTTTCTTCTAACTTTGTAACGGGTGGATAAACTCGTGATTTATGAATGGGAGTTTTTAGAACTTGATGAAATTTCACAGAAATCAGTTAAAATTTTTGCTCTAGCTAGGCGCTATAGGCGAAAAATCACAGTGCGCCACGTTAGGGGCCACGCCACGTTAGGGTACATCAACAATACTTATGTCAAGTAAATATGAGGGGTTTGATAACGTTTATGTACTCCGTGCGCAAGCAGCTTCTCAATGGTTACGAAGGAGAGTTGTGGGATACAACTTGGAGGTAATTCGAACGCATTGCCTACGGTGGCAGACATAAACTGCCATAGACCTCAGTGGTAATTACACCCATTTCCAAAAATTATTTAAAATACTCACAACCCTCCAAGGTGTTTGAGACACATATTAAATTAAAGCTTATGTCATCATCTTTCATTTTCTGTTCAATTTTTTTGGGCATAAGCGATGACTTTAGGGAGAAAATTCCATCCAAAGATGATCACCCCTAAAAGAATGCCTATGCTCCATTGCAAAATAGAGCAATTTGAGGGCCTAATTTCATCCGACTATTTCACAGAAATACAAGCTCATATTCTTGTGCACGGCTTCCACCCTTCTTCATGCTTTTTCTTTACAAACCCTCAAGTTCATGGCCCACAAAATGCTCTAATAGCGAAGAATTTGAGGACATGCAAAGCACCATCTACTGTTTGTAGTCGAGCCTGTCGATGGAGCTTTTATAATTCAACTTAGTATTACAAAGAGGAATACATGTACTTAATTTGAAAATCTGCAAATTGTTTAGAACAGTTAGGCACTACACTTTGATAATGTTATTCTACTTAATACTTGCTAACTTGACCAATGTAAAATATATTTAAGGCTCAACCCGTCTCCAGCCCCCCCCCCCCAAAAAAAATGTCCACGTAAATTTCTGAAATTTCCCCCAAAATTCTAAAAAATGTATAATTTCAAAATGCTTTTTTATTAACCATGGTGCCTAGTGTAGATGTTCAAACCTGTTAAATTAAAAAAAAAAAAAAAAATCACATTGAAGCAGTCTAAACAGTGACACTTGTTGGATTGGCATACAAGGCGCTGCCATTTTTGACAACAGTTTTTAGATGACGTTATCGTTCCATTTTGGGTTGGTATGTTCATAAGGCATAGCTAATTAAAGCAAACACGTTCGCAAGACTGTTGACTGATGCACCCTAGATGTCTTACCACTCCATCACTGAGCCGAGGCCTGCTAGCTAGTTTGAATCTGATACAGCAGCAGTCGGTTAACAGGACAAGAAAAAAAGTGAGGTTTATTTATTTATTTTTTAAACCTTTGCAGGTGGGGAAAGAGAGCTGCCCACAATCGAGCCCAGATCGTCTACTACATGGCCGAGAATCTAGAGCTGCGTCGGGACGAGGTGGCCGGTGACCTCAGTCACATGACGGGTCAAACCATGGAGGAAGCCCGGAGAGAAGTGGACCTATCTGTCAGGAGGCTGTTCTACTGGGGAGCCTACGCAGACAAGTACGGCGGCACTGTGCAGGTGAGCAATGCCAGGGGGCGGCCATCTTGGTCTGGTTCCCTGAGGTCATGGTGTAGATTGGCACACTGTGGAAAGCAATACCTGGATGGCAATCTTGGAGCCTCGCCATGAATCTCATGTAGAAATTTGAGATGACTGTCATGATGTTGTTGCAGTGTTAAAACCATTTGTGATCGGCTCCACAAAAAAGGGTATTAAGTCGCGCTGAGCATTATTACAGGATCTGTCTGTCACTTATATAAAATAAAACTATCCTTTGTAAACTAAGTGCATATCTAGGGAAATCTGAAAAAAAAAAATAAAAATTAGCAGGTGTTACGTTTCAGTCCTGGCAGGACCTTTCTCAAGGGCATTTTGTCTTTGAGAACATACATGTACATCTGTTGAACTTATGTCCCCCAATTTGTTTTCTTTTTTCTGAATCAGGAAAATAAGCCATAGATAAAGCAAAGATCGGGGATAAAGCCTAGGTTGGCAAACCCCAATAAAAAAATTCTCTAGACATGGAAATAAAAGTAGCCAAAGGATTTTTGGTTGGTTCTAGTGAAGAGGCAAACCCTGTTACTGATCACCAAGCCTTGTTTTGATGCAGGAAACCTTGTTGTATGGGGCCACAGTCAGGATCAATGAGCCGATGGGAGTCATAGGAATCGCATGCCCTGATGTATCGCCCCTGCTGGCCTTCGTGTCTCTCTTTGCTCCCGCTGTGATCCGAGGCAACGCCATAGTCATTGTTCCTAGCGAGAAGTACCCGATAGCGGCTCTGGACTTCTACCAGGTCAGTCTAATTCTTGGACTTGTCCGTGAGTCGTCCTTCATTCTTTGGAATTTGTGAGCTGTTCTGTCAAAAATAAAGACACTTCTGGGTGGTGCTTGAAATGGAGATACAATAATAAAAAAAATGATGTGGGGTGATTTAATCAGTTAGCAGGTTTTTTTTCTCGAATTTGTAACACAAGCGGTAAATCGAGAGTAACCTCGAGACCGCACACTTTTGGAATACATGTATTTGTTGGTCAGTTCAGCGCAACCCAAAATGATTGTTTTCTAATCTTGTTTTAATTCTGTCTTGGTCTTTTGCTGATACCCTCTTATCTCCATGTAATTCAGGCTGTATTGCTGATCCTGGAATCCCTTTTCAATCAAAGTTCAGTTTTGTCCTTCTATATTCTGTTCTATTCCAAGTTTATTGTCTAATCCTTCTTGTTATCCAGCTGATTCCCACTAGTCCTTACATGCCCCATTCATGTTTCTTTTGACATATTGAAGTCTTTCCTGAGGTTGTCAAACTTCAAGTCTCAACATATATTTTATGCTCCCTTTTTTAACTTGAAGGAACATCACATAGACATTTGAGCTCCTGGCAAAATGAAGATGGGTCATTCTATAAATGTGGGTCCAAAGCGTGACATTCGTCCCGTCCCTGTTACCTTGGTACTTTGTAATTTGCCATTCAAGTATTATTAAGAATGACTTCTTACACTTATTTGTTGGGTAGGTAGTTTGCTATTCATAATTACTTTTGGAGGACAATTGCACGAAGGAGTGCATCAGAATCATAAAATCATTTGTCGGATTCACAAGGACAGGGAACAAAAGTGAACCCCCAAATACTGTAGATGCCATTTTGTAGCTTTTCAATGGAAGCAAATGACAACTTCAGAACTTCAGAAAGTTCAAAATTAATTTCTTTTTGTTTTTGGTGAGACAAGTTTCTAGTTTGGTAATGTGTTTTAATACTTGTATCTTTTTTTAAATTTAGGTGTTTGACACATCGGACCTTCCCGGCGGAGTCGTCAACATCATCACCGGTAACCGTGACCACCTCACCAAAACCCTAGCCGAGCACCAGGACGTGCAGTCCATGTGGTACTTTGGCTCAGCCGAGGGGTCAAAGTTCGTGGAGTGGTCCTCGGCAACTAACCTGAAGCGCACCTGGGTGAATTACGGGAAGGACCGAGACTGGTCGGACAAGGCTCAGGGGCAAGGGGAGGAATTCCTGTACCAGGCCACGCAGGTCAAGAACATCTGGATACCGATGGGGGATATTTTTGCCAACTAAAGGCAGTTTGGCGTTTTTTTCACGGTTTGGAGCTACGGATCTCCACGGTTTGAAATTCGTGATAAACCGTGGGAGTACCGTATTCATCCTTAGTACATCCGTGGTTATCCGTCATCTTTCTTGGGTATTCGTGGAGGGGCTTTGGAAGTTTTAAACTGTTCAGTACTTCCGTGGTGAACCGTCATTAAAATTAATCCGTACTGCAACCATAAGACATCCATAGGACAACCGTATTTATTCATTGTGTTATTTGTGCATATTCTTGGAGATTCGTAGCTCATTTTTGGTAGAAATCTCTACGAATTCGCTGCGAATGTCCTACGGATATGCCCCGGATGTGCTAGGGTTCTGCTAAGGTTGTACTATGAATATGCCGTAGGAGAACCTTGGTCAATTGGGTCAACCTTGGCCCAATTGCAGATAACGGTGGTGTTAACGTCACTATTCTATTCTTAGTAATACCATCGATATTCTTCAACAATCCGTCTATATTCGTGACAAACCGTGGTGTATACGTAGAGAAACCTTAGGACAGTCGTGGCTATCCGTGCTGAAACTGTAGTGCATTCTTAAAAAGTTGATTTCTCAGTCCACGAATCTCGATGGTTCATCGTGACCGATTGATTCTTGGTAAACCGTGGATATTCATAGCTCCAACCGTGAATGTGTGACTGGGGCTTAATGTCGAAAGAGTGTCTCATCTTTAGTGCCAAAGATTTGTAAGCATTGACAAAATCATGTAATCTTGGCTCATGTGTTATTGAGCCAAAAGGATAATGCTGTGCAGATTTGTGCCTGGAAAAAAGTTATTGACAAATCAGTCACAATACTGCTGTGTCGAATATACCGAATATTCAATCATCCACTGAATATCCCAACAGCATTTTTTTCTGATCGGAATATTTGAAGAAAGCCAATCTGTGGTATTTTAATCGTAAAAGTTGCGTGGTTTTATTGTTAGTCAAATCCTTCATTTTGGTCGACCATCACTTTTACATGCATGACTTGGGATTGTATGAGCAATAATCTCCAATGGAGTCTTTAAAATCTTTTTAAATCTTTTAAAATATCATTGAGTCAGCTACCTCTGGACCAATATGGCGACATAAGCTCGTTGTTAATTTTGACTGGCCCACTGGCAAGTTCGGATTGGCAGCTCGTTTAACTTCCAACTGGCGCATTCAATTTAGGCTGGTGCATGGCACATTAAGTTTGATTGCCGAGTTGCAAATATTTGAATATTTGATCAATTGAAGTTTGAATAATTGTATACTAAATTATTTGAAATATGTGGAGCACTATAAATTTTTGTATGGCATTATCTGTGACATTCAAGAATAGCAGGAAATGATGTCTTCCTGTGTGCTACCTTTTATGTTCAAATTTTAGTTTCCCATTTTTTGTTCATTTTAAATCTTTGTCTACAAAAAGTTCCATTGAGAAATTCATGTTTTTGATTGTCGACAATGGACTCCATGTACGGGTACCCCCAACCTCATCCCCAGGGTGTCGAGCAGTACGCGCCCACCACTACCTGCTCTCTCACCCTGGTATTGGATCATTTGCATGTGCAAGATTTTTGAATACGTATGCAAATGAGGAATAGTCTGGTGCCTGCCTGTGCGTTACATTTGCGTTTGTTTTTGTATGCGGTGTCTGGGGTAAAAACAGAATTGATTCGTCGCAGCGCGAGCATGGCGTGAGTTACAATAACACGTTTTTATTTTAATTAAACTGTTACAATCTTAACAAGACAACATGCAGCATCACATTTCATATTAATATTAACAAATTGGAAAAGAAATGAATATTTTCGAGAAGTCGTGAACGAATGATCGCGAAAACACGTACTGCACGTTGTGAATAACAACACCAAATACACGATATAAATCCATTTCTCGCCAATTAGGTATCGCATCAGGATACAGGAAGAAGGTTTCCTATCCAGGGCTTACTATTGGAAACGAGGTTGGAAATAAAGTAAGCACTGGGGACGAGGTTGGGGTACCCCCTCAACGATTACAACGGGAGAGTTGGGGGAGACCAGTGGAGTGGATGGATGTTCAAATTAGGGCTGTGCATCAGAACCGGGTACCTGACCGTTGATGTCAGGAACCGGTTCCAGATTATGCCGGGAACCAGACACCTGTAACCAACTTTACAACTTACTTAGTAACTTCTCAGACAATGAAAAAGAAAGGTTTTGAATGTAATTCAAATGGGGATTTAAAAAAATGAAAACCAGACCACATGGGAAAACAAAACATACTTCATGTTTATAATGGTCTCAAAAGTTTGCAGTTTACACCTCAATGCTATAAGCTCACTGTACACAATTGTATCTTGCTGTATCGATGCAAAGTTGTGGTAGTATTATCGTCCTGACCTTTATGAACAATCTGAACAGCAACTTTGGGGTTGGGTTTCTTTAATGGCTACCTGGGTACCCGTGTTTTTTTTCAGTCGGGTACCTGGCTTTGGAAAGAATGTTGCATCCTGATGCCACTTTTGCATCATATATTATCTCAATGATGGTCAGTCATTGAATGAGAAACAATTCCAATTTTGTTAGAAAATACTTTGAAAATGCACTCAACTCTCCATAGACTCTGTACACAACCACAGAAGTGGCGTCAGGATACTACATTCTTTCCCTGGTTTCTCATACAACCCGTAAATGCACACCCCTAGTTCAAATGCATAAACACCGGTGCCTGATGCTCACGGTTTGGGCACACTCCAAATAAAATTAGTCCTGTGTGGTTGCACCGTACTTAACTAAACCAGTTTGCGAACGCAGTGTGTCCCTTCTACTTTGGTTGCAAGAAGCCATCTACTGTCCATGAACTTATCCATCCGTGTTTCACTTGATTCATTCAAAGTATACGTGTTTTCTTTTGCAGATTATACATGTAGGTTAAAAAGAGTATTCTCATTCTTGATTCTGATATAACTTAGTAAAACCAAATCACCTGAAATATTCATTATAGGGGCCTTGTTTGGGAGCATTTTGCTACTTCAAAATTTGTTTTGTGTAACATGTCATTAAGTTTGTTTGTGTTATTGTCATTGTATAATTTTAAAGTGACAAATTTTATGATGGCCAATGTAACAGATATGTCTTCCAAAAGAAAGTACAAGTATAATATGAGTACAATTACCTTGCCAAGAGTATGAGTACAAGTACTTTGCCATTAGCACGAGTACTTGCTACGAGTATGAGGACAAGGATAATAACTTTGCCATGAGTACGAGTACAAATATGAGGACCTTGCAGTGAGTAAAGAGAACTCTCCATGAGTACGACCACAGTTCAATGGTAATACATGGTCTCAAGGGTTTAACCTGGCAAAAAAATTACACAAATGCAAAAGCCTCTCAAAAGAGCAGAAATTGGTGGGGGGTTTTTGCAGGTTGAGTACAAGTACATTAATTCTCATGAGTACAAGAATAAGTACAAAATAAAATGCGCTCAATACTACAATTGATGGTTCTCCAAAAAAGCCCAACAAAGACAATATGTGTGCTTCAAGCCAAACCTGCGCAGATCTTTGAAGGCACATTAGTTTTGTCTGGCACAGTGACACATCTGGTGATGCATAACAAAATATGGGCAGCCATCCTTAGCCTTTGGTCACAGATGGCCAGTTGGGCAAATTTATTTTTCTATAAGTGGCAAATTATACCAGATGCCTCTGTCACCACTGATCTAATAAATAGACAAATGTGGGACGTCGGATCTTATTTTTTTGAGAATAACTATTATATTGATCTATAAATTTTATAATAAAGGTTGATTATACAATGAAGTACATGCTTGATGAGCTTTCTTGTATGTTGTGTTTATGCCACACACTTTTTGTTAAAACCACTGGGAAAAAAAATTTGCAACCTGACACCACTTTTTTCGTGATATATCATCTCAATGAAGGTCAGTCATTGCAAAAATGATGATAAGACATGAATCTGGGACTGAGAAACATTTCCAATTTTGGTAGGAAATACTTCAAAATGTTCTTGACTCTCCATAGACTTTGTACACAATCGCGCAGGCGGCGTCAGTTTGCAACATTTTTTCCAAACTACTGTTTTGTTTGTTCTTTTCCTAATCCTTTTCGAGAAAGCCCACGTCTCTCCACGTTTATTTCAGCTGGTCCAAAAGGGCCAGCCTAGTTGCCTCTGCACCTCTGACTGACTGACTGACTCCCTGACTCAACTCCCCCCCCCCCCCCCCCCCCCCCGACTGACTCCCCGTCTCCCCTAATAGACTGGTTGTTGACTGTTGGAGAGAGCTGGGCAGTGCTATCATACAGGATTACCCTGTAACATCAATGGATGGGCTAAATCCAGCCCACTGTGTAGACCAAATGCATGCGAAGACTTCCAGTGAATAGCCAGAAAGATTCCCATATCTGGCCATCAATAATTTTTTTAGTGACCTATCAGCGATCAGAAAGTGATAATAGTCCTAAAAAAAAAAAAGTTAGCAAGGAAAATATTGAAGTATTTAGGGAAAATATTGAAGTCTCATAGGGTTTGTGCACAGGGTGACAAGTGATGGCCAGATATGGGAATCTTTCCTAATAGCCATTATGAATCAATTGAATAGAATTTGCGCACTCTTAGGAGTCTGGTTTAAGAGTCCCGCTTTACTACGTTTGCCAAGTCTTGTTTTTATTAAAATATTTTAAAACAATTTAATATTTGGGGAAATGTTATCTAACGTTCATAAATACCCGAGACAGTTTACCCATTCCTATTGGTCAAGAGCCCGTCACATGGGTGGTTTTAAACCGCTGGTAAAACACCGCTGACTTCTGCACCACATTGTGCAGTACGCTCCGCGTGCGCTAATCTCAATATAAGGAGATATTTAGCACTACGCGCAAGGCACATACCACAGATATATAAATGGCGAGAGGGGTGTTTCACAAAACATGAAGTAAAATTGTTGAACAAAGTAGTTGGAAATTTTGTGAATTTTTGACTTGTTTTGACGTTTTGGCTCGGGCCATTATCCACGACCAGGCCCCTAGCTGGTTTTAAACGTAATAAAACCGGCCAGGCACATTATTTTAGTAAAGAACGTGTGGAAAACAAATTTAGATCACTGAAAAAAATGAAACAACTTGAGAAAAAAAAGTAAAAGGGACTTGATGCTTTAAAAAAAAAGGGGGGGGGGGGAGAGGGGTGTCAGGGGAGGGGGGAGAGGGGTGTCAGGGGAGGGGGGGGGGGGTTGACCCCATGTAGGCTTCTCTATACATATCTTTTACACACTGTATACAACCTGAACCAAAAAAAGTGTCATCAACTGCATGCTAGTGGCCAGCGAACCTTACATTTTGACACACATGGCAAGAGTTCATAAAGTCATTCTCAACTCGGTTTACACATCCTCCAAGTACATGTATCACAGTGGGATCGTTACCCCCATATAATGAATTCATAACAGTATTATCATATGCACCTGGGAATTCGTACCAGAGAGGTGAAGTTTTCTCTTGACACGTCCCGTGCCCCGTAATACGTTTCTGATCCGCTGAGGAGGCCGGAAGGCGCGAGAACTTCTGGCCTGTGCGGAATGAGGAATAAATAATTGATGAAAGTAATCCCTTACTGCCAGGCCGCCTGCATGCCCTTACTTTATAATACAGTGAATTACACCTGAAAGATTGATACGTGTAATTGCATTGCATGATGATGCTATCTTAAAAATTTCATTTCAGAGAGTAAGGGTTATGAGCGTTCGTGATGGTTGATTTTTTTGGGGGGGGGGGGGTGGTTTCCAACAGAGCGTTTGATGCTTTTGAAGATCATTGGCCTAAAAGATACTGTCTTGTCAAAAAACTGACTGTTCAATGCTAGGAAACAGTTTTTCCGTATGGAAAGAGCTGATTTTAAAAGAATAATTTACCTTAACTAGGCATTTTTGCTAGGATGCAACCTCAATCCTGTAAAATCCTCCAATTGCCTCCATGCACAAATTGCATACAGCATACAGGCTGTATGCAATCTGTACATGGTGGCAGTTGGAGGATTTTGCAGGATTGAGGTTTCATCCTAGCAAAAATTTCAGCCAACCATCGTTGGAAATTGATACAAAAATTCCACTTTTCTTGAAAATGGCAGCACACCAGGAGCCATGACTTCACAGGATGCTTGAGACTGTCACTCACTTACAGTCAACATGGTCAAGTACGGTACTTTCATAATAATTTGGTAGTTTTGTTTTTGGATGCTTGCAAGTGTTTTGTATTACCTGTAAAGATAGCATATGGCTCACAATTTATCATGTCATCAAATGAACGTTTGAGATAAACTAAAGGAACCTAATCCGAAAACAAGTGAATGTCTCGAAGAACAAACAAAAAAGAACAGTAAATTTACTTACAAAGAAACAGCATTGAAATAATCTACATGTAACTACAAAATCCATTTGGATATAGGTTTTATTATCCCATCCAAATGTTCTTACTTTTTCTCAGCCGTTTGAATAGAAATAAACCAATATTGCCCCAAAAAATAGTTTTTAATTATGAATAGCACACCTCAAATTCACTGGATACATTTGGATTGATAATAACATATAAGCTGATCATCAAAATACTTTAAGATAACTTGTGAATTGAAGACAATACATACATGTACAAAAATTCACACCGAAATAATTTTTTTTTTAAATTTCCTTTTCGTTTTCTTCTTTTTCTTTAGGTCATTTCGATACGCTTTGCTTTTGTGTTGCACCCTGAGAATCACTCTCTGGCCAATACCGGCACATTATAAATATTCATTACATGTACATGTAATAGGCCTAGTCATGACTATGATTTTAAAAAACAAATTGTTTCACGTATCACAAAAATCTAATAAACTTATAAATATATAACATATTAATCCCAAACACTATATTCCATAATACTGGTATTATAATCTATATATTACTACTAATAAATTATATTGCATTGTTCTTCCGCATAAATACACACACACAAAATGTTCATCAAATATTTCCAGTGGGTATTATCATTACAACTGGATATCTCTTTGGGCTATCTCATGGCAGTATGCCTTATACTCCAGTGTACAATGGTACATCATACAAGGAAAATGAAATTGAGAGTGTGTTAAAGTTTTAAATTCATATTCAATTAATTCAATTCCTTTTTATTTGAAATCTAAATTATAACAGTACTGGTGTAGTCAAGTACGTTTTTTCCGAGTACCGAGTACTGCCGAGTACCTAGGGTACTGAGTAAGAGTACTTGTATTCCGAGATATGGAATGGATTAAAAAGAAATGTACTCAATTTGTATTCCCGAGTACTGGAGTTGAGTACTGAGTCCAAACCAACGAGTCCGTGCCAAAATTTGAGTCCAAATAATTTTCGAGTACTGATAGTCAAGTACGGGTTGAGTACTTGCGTGTAACTCGAGTACGAGTACTCCAACACTGACAAAGAGTTCTGAATACTTAATTTTATACCTGTGATTTTTTTTTTTTACTCCCGAGTACTGGAGTCGAGTACTGAGTCCAAACCAACCAGTCTGTGCCAAAATTTGAGTACAAAGAATCAAGTACGGGCCGAGTCCAAATAAGTTTGAGTACTGATAGTCGAGTGCGGGCCGAGTACTTGCGACTGTACTCAAGTTGTACTCGAGTACGAGTACTCCAACACTAACAAAGAGTTCTGAATACTTTAGTTTTATACCTGTGATTTTTTTTTTGCACCTATGTCATCAAATCAATAGATTTGACCATATTGTACCTCCGTAGCTGAGTGACCCTTAGGGCCTGTGTATAGGGCAGTTCTGGCCGTATCATCCTGCTGCATTGTGGGTCTTGTCGGACATCGGGCTTCAACTTGAAGCTGTCAATCTTGATCCCGTATGGGTGCCAGACGCGTAAATCGTCATCGACCACTCTCGCGATGCAGTAATTGCGGAAGAATAGAATTCGCTCCCGCAATGTGTTCACTTCCTCGTACAGCCTCTCTGTCCCAAATGCTTCAACTCTCTTCCAAAACGTCTGGTTGAAGACGTCGTAGAGTTTCACGTCTCCTGCGTTCCAATCCCGTATTTTCTCTTCCAAGTCTGGCGACAATGTCGGCACTGAGGACTTACTGCGAGCGTTCAGAACGAAATAAACCATGTCGTCAATTTCCCAGCACATCAAGTGCCGCAGGAGGATCAAGGACTCGTCAAAATATTCCGTGATCATGACTAAGTCAAACCGTTCAGTCAGTTCCAGAATTTTCTGGTGGATTTTGCTCGGGCTGAACTGATCCGAGTCTGACAGTCCCAAGTCGAACAACATCGGGTTCTTCACGTACGAGTTGGTGTAAATATTTCGGTTGTAGAAGTACAGGGGCATCTGCATAAACTGCTCCAGTCCCCTTTCTGGAGAAAGGTTGAACCGAAAAGCTATGTCGTTGTAAGTGAACGACGACTCGTACATTCGGACAGGGTCGCGCAGAATGGTTGTGTATACGGCATTCGGTGACATGACTTCTGCAAATCCTGCCAGGAGAAAGTGCGAAATAAAAACGATGGATTTGTGATTAATTTGCAATGTCGAGATAGAACTTAAATGCGTTAACGAATTGTCTTGTACACTGAACATTTTTCTGGTACCAGAGGACCAAACTAGTGTCCTATTTGTACTTCTTGCACCTATCTCACTTACTGGCTGACTGAATTACTGTTACTTATGGCTTGGACCGGTTGTAGACTACTGTAACCCCTATGAATGGGCTAAATTCAGCCTATTTTGAAGACCAGATGCAGGACGTCCAGTGAATAGCCATTTGTGAATGGAATTTGTACGCTCTGCGTGAAGGATGTGTTGCATGTTTACATGTTTAAACGTTTAATTTTCCAAAAACATTTAAACGAAACCCAAATTATAAGAAAGGGACCTACATTCACCGTTCACGCAGTCTCCCTTTGAGTTAAACCTAAACCCAAATATTTCATGATGTTTTCACGATATTTAATTCGCAAAAACCTTCGAAGCACTTCACTACTTATTACATTCGGGGTGCACATAGTTAAGTTTTTATGTTTTCAACGACTGCCATTGTATTTACCATGTCAATCACACCGGTCTGCAGACATAATGAGCATGTATCAGCCTTTGTGAATGGATGTTTAAACGTTAAACGGTTCTTATTAAATATTTGCTAAACGTTTACAAAATTAAAGAGGTTGTGGAATGCTCGAAGACATTTCCGTCATTTTTTGGGTATATGTAGCCTAAGGTGTGATGAAATAAAAACGACTATTGTTTCTGTCATGAAATGAGTACAAAGGGTACTTTGGAGAGCTATTTTTCAGGTCCTGTTTTCGACCCGAACGTGCAATTTGTTTAAAAGTCGTCGTTGCGGGCAGCAAACAAAAACACAGTAAATCGTGACGTAATAAACAGGACTCGTTTATGCTACTCTGCATCGGGAGTCCTGTTTATTACGTCACGATTTACTGTGTTTTGTTTGCTGCCCGCAACAACGACTTTTACACAAATTGCACGTTCGGGTCGAAACAGGCATGACAGGACTTGAAAAACAGCTCTCATACTTTTCGTACTCATTTCATGACAGAACAATAGTCGTTTTTATTTCATCACACCTTAGGCTACATATACCCGAAAAATGACGGAAATGTCTTCGAGCATTCCACAACCTCTTTTAACTGCAAAGTCACATCCTTACTCTGCAGTGTATTTGTACCAATTTCACTGACTGACTGTCATAAATTTTTTGTTCTAAATGTTTAGAATATGGGTGTTTACATTTGCCAATCGGCAAATCCGGGCATGCGATATTACACTCAAGATGCCTCCTTCAATGGTGAAAACACCATGTACGCTTTTGTAGAAAGTATCTGCCCCGTGACGGATTATCTGCACAAAGGCCGGCACAATGCTTTCGCTATTGAAGGGGCATTTGTGATGGATTAGTGACCCTACCTGTGGCACTAAAGCGAGTATGGTGGCAAAGGATGTTGTAGTCCTCCACCCGGGAACCGTATCATGGACCTCTTGTCAAAGAACGTCCGTCCCAGGATGTTGTGAATTGGCGGCAAAACAAAGTCCAACGCGTGCCGCTCCCCGTAACGGAACAAGATGTTCTGAACGGTGGTGCTGCTGCACTTGTGCATCTTGACGAAAGCAATGTCCTTACGTGGAGTGCAAAGTCCGTCGGTTGAGCTCGCCCATCTTTGATTGTTCGTGGAGTTGATGCTGATCTTGTTGACGACCCCGTCTTCCTTTTTGAAGTTGCCACTCTGTTGGTCTTTTGGAAGAAGTCCTGTTTATTTAACCGTGCCCTATACAGCCGCAGTACATCATCCTCTTGTTTGAGCACATCAGGTTTCTGGTATATTCGGAGAGGATGCTGGTTTCTGGGACCACGCCCGGTTACGCATCAAGGAGACATCGTCTTCTCCGGGGATGGTATTCTCCTCGTCTATGGGGAGGTGACGTTGTCCTTTGGTCCAGGCCCGGTAGTGCCGTAAGGCTTCTTGGCTCCGGTGAATGCGCATCCTTGATCGATGACCATATTCTTGTCTCTGGATGTAGACCCTGAGAAGAACAATTAGTTAATCTGTAATTAATTTGCCAGATTTGCAACATTGCTTATGTTGCTAGTACTAGTATTGTGATCCCGGGCTACATGTCGAATACATGTTTATGGCTTCTAACAACCCGTACCCTTAATTAAACCTAACCCTCCAGGTATGTTTGCTAGAACCCTGCCAAACGTAGCAACATGCAACACTTGACTAAGTGACAAGCCTGCCCAGTGTAGCAAGATGCATCAGGGGAAAAGTCTCAAGGCCACACTGCCTCAGAGTCGGTGGTCACCGGGAGAGGCATGCAGCAGGATACAACTGTGCATTGTTTCATGGGACTTAGCTCTCATTGTTTCAGAGCTGGCCATTCATGCACTGGTGTTGGTAGCTGAACGCATCAAAGTGCACCAGTTCTTTTCCACCTGATGCACTGTGCTGCGTCTTGGCAGTGTTAGGGTTACAAAGACACTGACAGCTTTCGGAAACACCAACATAGGGCTGGATAGCTCAGTTGGTTGAGTACCGGTACGTCTTGTACGGAATTCCGGAGGTCGCAGGTTCAAACCCCGCTCCTGTCATTTCTATAGAGAAACTTTAGAGATTTCTTCTTCGACGGCTCATCTGTTTCACTCACCTCCTTCTGGACAGTAGCCACTCTGAGTGACCAGGATCGTCACTGACATCAACCCAATGAAGAAGAGGATTAAGAATACACTGCTTCCGGAAAGAGAACGCCATCTTGCAGACCAGTGCGTATACGTGCACACATGCAATGTACCGCAGATCACATCTTGAACAGCGTGGTTGATATGACCCTGCTGACTCTCATGCACAGTGGTCATGCTTGAAAACAAAGATAAGAAAGTATATATAGAAATTAACAGGATTATATAATACAGCTGTGAAAGTGCAAGGGACTTACAAGTAAATATGCCCTTGTTATAAAAAAAAGACAACATAATGAACAGTGAATGCATTTTATTATTATTAATTTTTTTTTGGGGGGGGGGGGGTGGAATTGAGAAACCGTACATACAAATTGTGAAATTCCAAACTCATGTTATTTGGATTCAGTTTTGGTAGTATCATCTTTTTAGGGAACGAAATGTTACAACCTGACGCCACGTTTTTTTCTCATATATCATCTCAGTAAAGGTCAGTCATTGCAAAAATGTTGAAAACAAGTTGAATTTGGAAACATTTCCAATTTTGTTAGGAAATACTTTTCTTGACTCTCCATGGACTTTGTTACACAACCACTGAAGTGGGGTCTGGATACTACATTCTTTACTGTTTTTTTT